TTCATTCTATTGCTCAAAAGATATTTATTGAGTCCCTAGGATGCTTCAGCCACTCTACTGGTGCTGATATAGACATGGACCTGAGAGTCTGATATAACTTCTGCCCATCGATCCTAATTCTATGCATCAGCTCTAGTTCTATATTTCAGAACAACAGAAAGTAAATCAAATAGTATAGTGAAGTCTAGATGCACACATACAAACAACAGCCAGGTAGACAGTATGACGGAAGACATTTTCATTCATTATATATAATATAAAATAGCTTAAAATATATTCTCCCCAAATATAAAATAGCTTAAAAAGTACTTAACAAGAAATTTGTAGGTCTAATGTGAAGATAACTATGAAAATTTACTAAGGGCCATAAAAGATGACTTGAATAAATAGAGAGACATAACATATTCCTGGATGGGAGGACTCAACATTGTAAAAACACCACTTCTCCTCAAATTAATTAAAAATTTAATGCAACCCCAATCATAATCCCAAAGTTATTTTCTGCTTGAAACCTAGTCAAGTTATTTTCAAGTCTACACAGAATAATAAATATGTGAGTATAGCAAAGAAGCTCTTAAAAATGGGAAAGGGCAGTGAGAGACTGATCTACTAGATATAAAAATGAACCATGAAGCTGAAATGATGAAAACAGTGAAGACCAAAAGCTCAGTGGAACAACAGAAAGCCCAAAACATACAGACACATATATGTACCAACACACATGGACATTATATTAGAAATTTATAGGTTAAGGTTGAAGGGTATTAGAATGAGCAGACAACCAACCAGGAATAAAATCAAATCCCTACTATACCCCATACCTCATATCAAAACAAATTCCAGTTGGATTCCGATGCAAAATAAAACCAGACAACTATTAAAAGAAAGTATGTATACGTTATCATTAATAAACACTTGGGCTTTCTAGACAGATTCTAATAAAATCTTGGGCTTTCTAAGGAGGAGATAAAATTAACCACATAAAACTTAAAAATGTCTCTACCAAACTTTTCCCTTACCTAAACAAACAAAATGGAACATATTTAACAGATAAAACCACAAGTTGGACAATATTTATAGCCTATGTGATAGTCAAAAGGTCAATTTTCTTAACAGAAAAATGGCTCCTAAAATTCCATGTGACAAAGATAAGCATCTCAGTGGGAAAAAAGGACAAAGGGCATAAACAGGTAGTTCACCAAAAGAGAAACACAAATTGCCAGTGACATGTAAATAAATGCTTTCCTCAGTAAAAATATAAAAAAAGTAAATCAGAATGGAATGGAGCTGGATTATCAAATTAGCAGGGATGAATAAGATGTAGGGTGGTGAAGATGTGAGTGAACACGCTCTCTCTTACATTGTTGCTGGAAGTAGAAAGGGATACAAATTTTCTGGAGGATAATTTGGATGAATTTTTCAAAGACATTGAAATTTTAGCCTTCCTTTTAACCAGCGATTTTATTTTTAGGCGGTTATATAAATAGAAATCCATACATCAATCTATAACGATTAATATTTCAATCATATTAATAATATTGAAAACTATAAACTATCAAAAGGTTGGTAGGATAAATTATGGCAAGTTGATATGATATGGTACCAGGCAGTCATAAACATTAATAAAATAATAGAATATTTAATGTCATGAAAAACATTCACTATAAATTGTTGAATGAAAAAAGCAAGTTACTTAAAAATTTTAAAAGTATAATTATATATATGTATGCATGTATGTATTTAACTAAGTATATGTTTATGCATGTAATTAGATGGACTCAGACAAATGTTAATAAGTTATTAATAGGCAGTAAGAATATAGATAATTAGAATTTTATTTCCTTCTGTGAATCTAAAGTTTCTATGATGTATATGTATTATTTAGGTGGTAAGAAAAAAATGAAAAATGTTTTTTTTAGATGTTCTTTGTTTAAAGCAACAGAAATCCTTTTTTCCAACTGAAATCTTATGTGAAAATCCAATTCACAGAACCAATAAAAGGAGTAAAGCGGGGGTGGCAGGCCTAGAGCCCTGTTCCCTTGGTGGGCATCCTTGAGTACCCACTTTGAAATGTCAGGGCTGAGGGAATTCTGCTGAGAAACCATCGCACGTAAACACCATTCCCAGGACCTATGTGATGTGTTGCTAGTGCACCCACATAAGGTCCCATGATTGGTAGTTACCACTATAGTTACTCAGAAACTGTTTAATAGCTCATTCTATTTAGTTCACTATATTCTTTGCAATATATTCATTTGTTAAGCACTTTTTAAAAACTTTTCTAGATTTTAACTTTGCATTATATTAGTTTACTTGTGGATTAGAACTAGAAGAATTTTGTCATCATGAAATACCCTTAGAAAATTGTAATTTGATACCACACCCTCAGATTGTATTGAAGGTTGATATGAGAAATGACTACATGAAGAATGGATCTCCATCTTCCATAAAACTATTATTAAATACATTGTCTATTATGGTGCTCAGACACCCTCATATAAATACGCATGCGATAAATTCCCCTAAACTTTTAGTGCCACAAAAATGTTTGCCCATTTTTATAAATAAGTATGACTTTCTTTTATAATGCTGTATTATTCCTATATAACTCATCATGTTTCCCTTTTGGCTTTGGCTGCCAGAAAGCTCAAAGCTGTATTTATTGCCAAACCACAGCAACGAACAGCTGCCTAATTTTTCAGAAAAACCCTATCCCAAAGCACTTGAGTGTTTACCCTCAACTAAATGGTCCCATGATATGCATGGCTCATGTTATGAGTTGTCCCAAATCCAATTTGGAAATAGGCGAGGATTAAATCACAAACAAACAAACAAACACATAAGTGATTTGGACTAAGCAGGCTTGGTCTTTGGCAGTAGAAAATGCTCACACCTAGAGTTTGATCTGTATCAAATGCCTATTAGGCACGTTGCTTACTCTGGAGTACTGCTCTGCAGTGAGTATCCCTGAGTGCAGCCATGGACATTTGAGTCTTTCTACTACTGAGGCCCACACCTGCTTTCACCCATCCCAGGATGCTGGCTCCTTAGAAGTGATCTGCACGGCATCCAATGAGGATATCAGGCTGAAAATGGTAGCAAAAGAGCAAGGTGCACATGAATTTGAAGTTTATACACGGACTATAACCTTTAAAGTAGTTAATAAAACAAGATCTTGCTGAAATGGACCAGGAAATAGACAATTTCACATACAGAAATGAACAATTCTTAGGCACTGGGGTGTGTGTGTGTGTGTGTTTATTACAACGTTCAACAGTAGACTAAAAATATCAGGTGACTTAAGACACTCTTTTACCTTTCTGGAAGGTCAAATACATGTTCTTATTATTAGCATTACTTACATGATTTTGTAACATGTTAAGTGCTGAAAAGGGCATAGAATGTGGAGGAAAGGAAACCAGAATTTTTTGAAAGACTGAGGCAAATTTACCTCCGTTATTTCATTTAAGGGACACTAGTGTTCCTTTTTTCTGGAATGCACAAGCTCTTCAGCAACCTCTCTAATAACAAGGTAAGGCATGAACATAACAGACGTTGTGTTGGAATGATTTGGATACAAGGACCCAGGAGAGTGGACTCTGATAATGTAGTCTTGGTTATAGTGTCATAAGAAGTGGCAGGATGGCTTTCTGTATCAGCAACAGACACCCTCAAAGCCTGTGAGAAAAGCTTGGCCCCCCGCGGCTCTGCAGTAAGTTGGGTCAGCTGCCCAGAGCAACAGGTTGTCATTATAGAAAAGATTTGCCGTAGGTTTCACAGGAGTGTCAACACCAGCCTAGGAGCAGGTGGACCAGGCAGGCTCCTGGGGCCCCAAATATCTTCTTCCTTTTGGAAGCCTGCCTGCTATTCCACAGATGGAGTTTCATTCAGAGTAGCAACGTTTGGCGCCCCAGAGCCCAGGTTCTGGAATCAAATCTAGTTTGAAATCCCAGCTCCACCACTTCCTGTTGCCTGGGTAAAGTGAGTATAGTCCCTAACTTTGAGTCTTTCTGTAAATTAATAAGAACGTCCCTGGAAGGCAGTTAGCCAGCACCTGGCTCATGCTGCACCTTCAATATATGTCAATTTTTATTATTATTTAGACTTAAAGTACCACTTATCAAAATGCAAATAACTAAGGAGGCATACCCTGTTACTAGTTAACTTCGGGAGGGATTCTCACCACTTGAATGTCAACTGAGATGTAGTGGGCAGCAAGGGATCCAGGACTGAAACCTGGGAGAAGCAGGTAACTGGGCCAAAGGAGAGAAATAGCTTTGACGTTTTGCTTGGAGCCACAGTGATTCTTCCACATGGAAAAGCACCCAATCGTTGCAGCTATCCAGGCGCAAACCCTCACTGTTGCAGAAAGGCAATCTAATTGCCGAATCCAGATCACAGGACCTGCGGCCCTCGGGACCTTAGGGACTGCCCCTTTCTCTATCAACTCTTCCACCCCAGAGGGTTCTATAGATGGAACTTCTGTGGTGAGAGGTATTAAACTGTAGAGCTGCCACATTAGCTCTTTGTTCTCTGGCCTGCCACAGAGCATTTGAGAAGACTTCAACACTGCTGAGTGTGGACGTGTGCACACCCTGAAGAGGCTGATTACATGGGTCCTTGCTGTTAACAGCCAATGGAAAGCCACTACCCTTTTCTACAAATCAGTTGTGCATCCCTTGGCTTTCTGAGTAGAGACTTCAACTTGTAAAGTCATCCAACACTTCTATAAATCAGTTACTTGTAGATTGCAACATCCCCTCCTGACCAGCAAGGAGAGAACAGGAAATGGCATTTTGGAGACTTTGCACTAAGCTGTTGTGTACAAATGGGTGAATTACTATGTTTTTCACCCCAGGGTACCCAGGAGATGCTGATTCTGACACAAACCTATGTAAGAGAGTCTCCATTTCGGCTCCTGCTAGGTCAGGGAGGGGTCCATCTGGGGGCACACACACGGATTCACACATCCAGTTTGCTGTGCAGAATGGGGCACTCACCTGTGAGGCCGGCGGCCTCGGCAGACAGGAAGGCACTCCAAGACAGGAGGAAAAACAGGCCTGTTTCCAGCATAGGGAACTCGCACAGTTTGGTAAATTTGGTCAAGTGACGAAGATGTGTTAAGGGAAACGACAACTGCTTTTACAGCTAAATGTCTCTCTTGGCTGAGAAAAATTAATCTGGTCGTGATCGTTTTAGAATAAGAGAACTGATTTCAGACCTGCCTGGGTGGCTGTACCTCTCACTGGGACTACCCTGAAGGCCAGCATGACTTCCATGCTTCACTGGGGGCAGAACACTCCGGGGAAAATGCAAACCTGTGTTCAGACAAAAAAGGTGTCAGCTAACTGCAGGTACAAAACCTCTTGAATTTGGCCTTGGCCCTTGGGGTGTGCCCCTCAGGAGACTGTAGCAGATCTGAGAAAACAAAGCCACAGAGAGTGTGGCTGGGTGAGATGCTGCAAGTGCATCAGCACCGAAGGTGACCACTGCTCCCTGGGGAGGGCCAGTCAGTGGACAGATCACCTTGAACTCTTCTCCCCTGGGGATGGAAGTGGGGTCAGGAGGAACAGGTACACTCAGTGATAGGGAAGCTGCCCATGCCCTCTTAGAATAAGTGGGATGGAGGAAAGGGTGTATTATTTCTAGGTCAGACAAGAAGCCCTTTGGCAGGAAATGGTTCATTTTGGCTGGAATGACACTTGGTCAATAGCCTATGAGTTGCAAACAAAGCAAAGCCATAGTGATGTAAGTCAACCAGAGAATGGGTTATGGGGAGAGGATGAGTGTGTGTGATCGACAGGAAAGTGTTATGTTGCAATTGAGTCCACGAATGAGATGTTATGTTGCATTTTTATGCTTCTAGAAAAAAATCTAAAGAAGATTTCACATTAAGAGATGTTTAGCAGCAGGGCAGGGAGGCAAAAAGCATGACCCCTGCAGTGGCAGATCCAGGTCCAAGTCTTGACTCTATGAGTCACTGGTTGTGTGACTTCTGAGCAATATGTTAACCTCTCTCAGCCTCATTTCTGCCCTCTGTGAACTGACAATGAGAATAATACCTACTCCCACAAGTGGAGAGTAAAATGAGATGAAGTATATTAAAAACGTCTTTTAAAGTCTTAGAAAGCCCAATGCCAAGAAGAGGCAGAATAACGTCATGGTTGGGAGCGTGGCCTCTGGAAGCCAACTCCATCTGGCTTCATCGTCACTGTATCAGCTTGGACGTGTCCCTTGGCCACTCTGTGATTTGGTTTCCCTGTCTGAAAATAGGGATAATAATGCAAACTACTCTTAGGTGTATAAACCAGTTACCACATGTTAAGCCTGTAGAAGAGGGCCCGGTATGCAACAAGGGATATGCAAGTTTTTCTACCAGTGTGACTTATATTAATTTGTTTTGTTTCCAGGAAACATCTTTCCTGGAAATAGATTCAGTAAGGATCTGGAAGCAATTCTTTATCTGGAAAAAAACATGGGCTGCTCTTTGACACTTTTCAGCATCCCCTCTTGTTAGTTGGAGGGCAGGCTTTGTTTCTAGTGGGGTTTGTTCCCCTGAATTCCCTCTTCTAGTTTGTCCTAGAGAAGGCTTAGGTCAATTTGAGTAACAGAATATCAAGTGGCATAGGGCATTCTTTTCTTTCAACCTCCAGAAAGTAGTTCAGTTCTAGGTTGAGCCCAAGCTTGTCCAGAGCCCAGGGGCCTACACCCTAAGGAGCCTTTGTCTCATTATGAACAAGGTATAGAGGTTATTACAATGGAGGGAATGACTGTGCATCTGCCTCCTTCACAGCCTGAGAGCCAAGGTCATCAGATGCTGTATGATCTCTCCTGCCACTGTGACTAACTCCTGTCTCTTCCATCTCTCCACTCTTTTTTTCCAGATCAGATCCAATCTCATGGCAGATTTCCAATCTCCAGGAATTTTTGCCCTTCCCTTATCACCTTGTTCGCTCATGTGTCCATACATTCCCTTCACATCAGGCAGAGCAGAGTTTCAGTTTCAGTTCTTCCACCTCGTGCAGGTTCTGGAGCCAAAAAGCCTGGGTATAAATCCTGGCCCTGAAATGTTCTAGCTGTGTGGCCTTAGACAAGTTGTGTAACCTCTATGTGTCAGTTTCTCCAGCTGTAAAACTGGGATAAGAACGGTATCTCCCTCCCAGGGTTCTTATAAAAGCTATCTGAGATAGTCCATGCAAAATGCTAAGGACAACGGCTGGCATATGGTAAAGTTCTCAACAAATGTTAGATGATATCATTATTATCGTATTCATTATTACTGATACGCGACCCAGAGTGACCTCCTTGAGCCTCAGTTTCCTCCCCTCATGCGTAAAGTGAGGATAATAATAATTTATCTTACAGGGTTGATTCAAATGAGGTGATACAGATAAAGGCCCTGGAACATGTTAGACATTCACTAAATGTTGCTATCATCATTACCATTACTCTATTCTAAATAACATGTGACATCCATCATAATTCCACTTAAGAATTAAGAGGCAATAGGGATTAGCGCTCAAGAGCACGGTCTGTCTCTTGGTTTCACTCCCTGGATTTGAATCTTGGCTCTACCTTGTACTAACTGTGAGGCCTTGGGTAATACCTTACCCTTTCTAAGCTTCAGTGTCCAATAAAAATAGTATCCGCATGATATGATCATCGTGAAGGTAAATGAGGGATAACATGTAGAACAAACAGCAGGAGCCCTGACTTTTATAAGTACGAGGTAGATTATTAATCATTGTTTTTGTTAGAAATCAGCCCTACCTTTTCTGACTGACTTTATTTTTGTCAATGGAGTCGACATTCTCCAGCATTTCCAGGACAGGACTTTGGAGTGGCCTGTGATTCTCACCTCTTCTTGATCTCTCACAACCAACGAATCACTAAGTCCCAGAGATTCTCCTAAGCGTCAATCTCCTTCCTGATGTCCCCCCACAGTTCATCATCACAGTTTCCCTTGCTTCTAATCTTCCTCTTGTGATTCATCCTATGTACCAGTTCCTCATTTATGTTTTAAAAACAAGACATTCAGCGTGTCGCTCTCCTGAGTAGAAACCTTCAGTAGCTAATTGTAGACCATAGAAAGATGCTCAGACTCCTTTGAATAACACTCCAAGATACTCCTCAAGCTGACTCCAACCCACCTGTGTCACCTCGTCTTCCATTGCTCACCAGCTCGAGCTTTCTGGTCCTTTCAGGCACACCCACCATGTACCATGTCAGCCCATCCCTGCACCTCCATGAATGTTGGTCTTCTGAATCCTTCATTGCATAGCCTTTGTGGACATCAAATCCATCTTTCTGGCCAAACCTAAGTCCCCCTTTGCATGAAAATACTGCTTTTCAAATTATTTTCCAGAATCATAAGGTTGGTCAAGAGTCTACTGGACTATGCCAGACACAATGGAATCATCCCCGTTTGAATTTTTAGAGTCCTAATAAGTGGGCTGTGGCTTTGGCCCTCACTTTCTATCCAGCTCTTATCGTAGAACTTGTCTTTCCAAGCTTGTCACTAATTGAAGGCAGAGTCCATGTTTTATTCATCTTCTGACTTGTCTTAGAAACCTTGAGTAGAACCTAGCATTTTAGCAGCTGCTCAGTGAATCTCTGGGCCAGTCCCCATGGAAAAACATTCCAACATTTTGCTTTCTTTGCTGGGGCCCTGACCCCTCTTGCACCCTTCTTCCTTTTCTTTTCCCCAAGGTCTTTGGTCCTTGATCCTTGGCTTTGACTCTTCTTTCTGGTTTAAGCCCTCACACTTGACATTGGCCTTCTGGCTTTCCTCCTCAACCCTGACTTACTTTTTCCCCATCCAACTGCTCTGAGTGAACAGCCCACCAGACCAGCTTCATTCCCTGGCTCAAATCCTTTAGGAACTCTACCCATCCTCCCACCCCTCTACTGCAAAAGAGGAAATGAGATGACACAATTGTCCAGATATGGCAAACATGTCATTTCTGCATTTCTTGCAGATCCTCTTCCACAAAATAGCTGTGGATGTGGATACCCACAGTCATCTTTGGCTTGGCCAACCGTGTGAGCTAGTGATTGACACAAGCTTGCAAAGGAGGAAAAGAATACCCAGTGTATCATTCCCAGTAGATCCTGTCTTGTTCTCGACCTTGGATCTTCAGTTCTTCCTCTTGACCTTAATACAGCCAGTCCCGACGCCCCCTACCCACCTATTTTCCTAGGCAGCAATTTTTTAAGACTGTTGATATCCTAGGATCAGACAGTATCAGTAGTGCTAGAACTGGCCTTGGACAAGAAAAGAGCCTGGGCCCCTCTGCCGCTGGTACCAACCTACCCCTCGAGGATGACTCAGAACTGAGATGGCCCCAGTGGCATTGTGTCACACTTGAACCAGACTGTCTAGCCATTTCTTGGCCTGGAGGTTGTCCATCCTCAGAAGCATTTCAGGGACATTGACTGCTCTTAACAGTCCCCAACTTTCTGCATACACACAAAGGATATCAGCGCTGTGACAACAGCATATGCAGACCCCATTGCAAATGAGCCGGCGAAGATCCCCAGGAAATTCCCCACGGACTGGAAGAATGCCGCAGCATCAAATGTATTTGGATTCTCCTTGGGACTGTAAATGGATATAGAACTGAAAAGAGAAGAGGGTGAAGGTTAGTCAGTGGCTTCCCTCTTATGGCCCAAACACCAGAAGTCAGAATTTAGCACCCACTTTTGGGAAAGGCACATTTTCCTACAAGGTTAGGTGCTGGTTGGAAGAGTTCAGGGGAAACCAATATGAGGACAAGAAGAGGTGGAGAAAGTGGAAATCTTTCCCCTTCCTTACAGCCCGGTCCCATGGTATCCATATATTGCTGCCAGTCAGTAAACATTTTTATATTGGAAGGGTCGTAAAGAATACTGTTTCTGAGCAAACTGGGCATTAAAACATGGTAGGTGTATAAAGAATCTGCTGAGGTGATAGATAACTGTGAATTATTTAGTGGCCATATGTCTTCAGTGCTGTTATATATTCACAAATGTTCCTGATAAAAAGTGCACTTTTATGGCCTGTGCACAAATGGGTGATACAAATCACAGCGTGCACAAAATATTCGGCTGTGATCTTGTCATACACCACAAAGTATTCCTCCTTTCTAGTGTAACCCTTCAGAAACAGAGCCCAGACGACATTCAGAGCATCACAGTATTAACCCCCGGGGAGAGACAAACCCCTCATTTTCCCACTGAAACGAATGGCAGCAGCTGCCCGAGGTCATCTTTTATACACCAATTCTGGTGGCTGCCAACAGATTTATTTCCATAGAGAAAAATCAATCCACCAATACGCGATCTGTTCACTTAAATATTTTTGAGGAATTCACATTTGCTTTTTTTTTTTTTTTTATAATTTTATTTATTTATTTTTCCCCCAAAGCCCCAGTAGATAGTTGTATGTCATAGCTGCACATTCTTCTAGTTGCTGTATGTGGGACGCAGCCTCAGCATGGCTGGAGAAGCAGTGCGTCGGTGCGCACCCGGGATCCAAACCCAGGCCGCCAGCAGTGGAGCACGCACACTTAACCGCTAAGCCATGGGGCCGGCCCTGCTTTTTTTTTTTAACCAGGGCCTCAAATCCCAGAATGTTAATATGAAGGACAAGGTGTGTCCTATTTTAGGAAATATGAACTCCATATTGTAGCATTAAAATGAACGGATGTGCTAGAACCAGTAGCTTTGGGGAGACTAATGAAGTAACATTTCAGGTTGTTGTTTTTTTTCCAGTTTTTATTTTAAAACGAGGTCTTTAAAACTAATCAGGAAAAATCAAGAATTTCACAGTGGGTTCTGGAAGGGACTTGGTAGCAGTATAGAGAGAGTGAAAACTATACTAGACACACTGACTTGAGATTAGATTGGATTTTACGGAGATATAACTGAATCTTTTATGGCTTGGGTGATTGGAGTATGTTAACTCTCTGACCTAACTTTCTGTATCTAGAGACTAGTTAAGAGGGAGCGGCGGGAGTGGATTCCAATTCTCCTACACAAAGATGTGTGGCATAAGAAAGGTAGTTTCAAATGGTCTTAGTTTTCCCCGGATGTCTTTAAACCCCTGAAGTAGGCCAAACACTTCTGCTCTTATCATGTAATTGGATAAGGAAGATGAATGTGGATCTCGAGCGGAGCCCTGAAATGTATGCAAGAAAAGGATTGCCTTTGAAGTGTTTTTCTTTTCATAAAGCGTTGTGCATTGCAGAAAAAAAGGAAAAGCAAACCTATATTCTCATATTTGGGTCTTTGGTATCTGACAGCCCTGGAAAGGGTGTAAAACCCTATGGCCATTATGAAACTTGGTGCCCAAGGCTGCAAAGCTTGATGTGGGAGTTGGCATTACCAATACAGTTCTTCATTCCACTGAAGAAAAATAATGATGAGAAAACATTCCAGTTGCATTCTGCCTTTCAAACAAAGGTTTTTGCGTAGTAACAAAGCTTTGTAAATAATTCTGTAAATTCCTGAGGCTCTACCAGTAGATCTGACCCGTAGAACAAGACCTCTTCACCTCCATCTCCATCTCCACACTCCGCCGAAAGTATTTTCTCCATCCGGATGCTTCCCAAACTTGGAGCACCACCACATCATTTGGCCATATTCTGTACCATTATTTGTTATTTATGCAATGTTTTTCTTTAAACAAACTCATTTTTATTCAAACGCAAGAGTTTTTGTTAAAAAATAGTTAATGAAAACATAGGTTTGATATGCTAATTATATTTATTTTTAATACATAACAGATTATGTAATTATTAAATTTGAAAAAAGTGTTCACCTGTGTGTCAGCTAAAATCATCTGGTAACCCCATTGGTTCGTAGTCTGCATTTTGGGAGATGTTGTTCTCATCCTGGGCTCTGATCCCCACCCAACAGGGTACAGCCAAACGTCATAACTTCCCTGTGATGTTTGACTTAACTGAAGGGAAACGCTTCATTCCCCTTGACCTATGGGGCTTGTCCATTGAGTCTGCAGCCCTAAAGCTCCCCAGGACGTCTGCACTGGGTACCTGCTCTGTGCCAGGTGATGCATCAAGGGCAGGGTGCTGGGGGCAAGCCGGGAAGGGCATAGAGAAGAGAAGTAGGATTTGAGTCAACAAACATGTTATTGAACATATGCAAGGCGTAGTGAGGCAGAGAAGCCTAAGATTAGATGATGACTAGCTCTAGTCACAGCGCGGAGGGTGATTTTGTGAGAGAGACAGCATTTAATGGTGCAAATGAGGAGGGGGCACTATTTTAGAATAGAGAAGATGAGATTTCAGCAGGAAGTGAGTCAACAGACAGTGAGGGGAGATGGGGAGAGTGTGAGCAAAGAAAAGGAGGCAGGCGAGCTGAGGACACTTCAGAGCAGAGCTCTACAGTTAGGGCTGGAACAAGGGGAGCATGGAGGTGGGCACCTGAGGAGGGTAGAGGTGGGTAGGCGGCATCACTCAGAGCTTTAAATTCCACATTAAGAACATACAAAAGCCCTCACATTTACATAACATTTAGCCCTCTTACACATGCATTATAGCTTTATGTGGTCCTATAACATCTCTGCAAGGGAAACAGGGCAGGGATTGTTATCCCTCTTTTTCTTTATTTCTTTCTTTTTTTCATAAAACAAAGAAACTAAGGGTCAGAGAAATTAAGATCATACACTATCAAGTTCAAAATGTAAATTTCTTGTTTCTTCCTTAAAAAGGTGATCTTCTTGGGAGGAAAACATGAACTCAGATCAGGACACTTGAGTGAGCATTGCGCTGACTATAAAGGCAATAGAGTTCAGGTACCAGAACCTTTCATTTCATGCCTGGGTGGAACATGGGCAGCACCACCTGCATGCAAGGATAGAGCGGGGTGCATTGTACGGGGCAACAGCTCCTGCTTTCCCAACCCACCAGCAGGCGAGCCTCGGGGCTTCTCGTGGAAACCTACTCTCACGGCTGGCTTCCACTCCCAGACTTAAGCTTTGCTGGGCCTGGCCTGGGTCTTACTTCTCCTTGAATGCCCAGGACTCAGCCTAGTGGCTGGGCTTCAGGCTAAATGAAGGCCAATGGCATGGGGGCTGGGTGACTGGAAAGTAGGAAGGAAGGAAGGAAGAAATACAGGAAGGAAGGAGGCTTGCAAAAGCCAGTCATCTCTTGAAATGAATCATCATCTACAAGCTTTTCTATCAGGCAGGGACTGCATGTAGTGGTGTTGTGGTTACTTTTAGGGTCGTCAATCCAAGCCTGAAGGTGACACTTGAGACTCAAGTTGAGCCTCAAAGATCTGACTCTTATTGGCTGTGTGACCTTGGGCAAGTTACTTCATCATGCTCAGACTCAGTTTCAAAGTCTAGTAATATGGAGATAATAGTATTACTTATCTCCCAGAAGTGTGTGAGGATATGAGGTACATTTCAAACCTGTATATTTATCTCGTGTTTTGTAGGCCCATTCACTGAGTGTTAATTATGTGCACAAAAAATAAACATTCAATGAATGTTGACCCTCATCACCATCATCATCATCATTCTGGTGAAAACTTCCACAAGCCTCACCATGACAGACAGCAGAGAGCTGTGGCTGAACCAGGCCTCAGCTCCAACTGCAGGGAGATGGGGCATGCTCCCCTCCCGGCACACCACGCTTCCAGGTTGTTGCAGAATAACTAGTCACGTTTGCATGGGAACAGAAGGGTCTCCAGGGAGGAAACGGCCATAGAAGTGAGGCTAAAAAGTTGTCATGTTCAGCACGGAGCTCTTGGCTCCGTGGATCAAGTAAGGCAGGGGTCTCCTCAGCAGCCTCAGCTTCAGCAGGGTTCTGGCCCAGGACAGGAACAGGCCGGGAGGCTGAGCTCGGTTGCCTCTCCCCTAGTTTAGTGGAGATGCTCTGCAGGCAAAGCCCTCTGGCTTCTGGTGAGGAGTGAGGCAAAGAAAGCAGGAGCCTTGTGGCCCAGGGAGGTTGCATCCCTCCCAACTTCCAGGATTTTAGGAGGTTCTTCCTCCAGGCTCTACTCCCTGGTAAAGGAGGCATCTCTCTGGGCTCTCTTTTCAGCTGCAACACTGAGCCTTGCTCGGGATTGCGGAGCAGCAGCTGCAGAGGGTGTTTTTCGGAAACAACCAAGGGTTTGGGTAGCAAACCCAAGAGACGACAGAATATCACGTTCCAGCAGTTTGAGCTCTTTGGACTTACAAAGGAAACACCTCCTCCCCTGCACTGAGGGAGACACTTGAACCACTAATGGATGGAGGGGCGGGGAGGGGAAGTGGAATTCCTGCTAACCCGTGTGGTACTTGTTCCTTGGGACACCACTCTGAAGAGGCACTGTTTATAACACAAGCTGGTGAAGATGGATCTACAAGCCCCAGATTTCTGGGAAAGTATATTTGAGTAGGATGGAACCAACATCCTTGAAAACGACGTGACCAGAAATACATAGTGGTGTTTAAATATTCATCTCATAAACTGGAAATAAGTCCAGTTTATTGATTAATTCTATTCAGGGACAGATTATTCAGCAAAAACTAGTTTGATGATAGTATATCATATCCATTTTCAGAAATAAATGCGTGCAGCATCTTTTATTCAAAAATTTTGAAATGGATGAAATATCCTGAATTCCTTTGAT